AACTGTAAAAGTACACGGACACAACTTGGTTGAACTACCTAGTAAACGGTCGTGCCTACCATCTCTGGACTTATTGTCTTCCCGGGTTACTCTCGTGGTAAAAGGTCTTCAACAAGTGCCCGTGAATATTTCGACTCGATCATTGCGTCAGATGTTGCAGAAATCGAAGGTTTCAGACCGCTTCTCTGTTGGTACTCTACGGAGTCGGTGCTTTCTGCTTTGAGTCATTGTTATTTTGTGCTATTTTTTAAACAATTCGGACTAATATAAATGAATGCGGACAGTTTTTACTCATTAGAAATATAAGCTATATATTCATTTAGACCCACACATTTGTATCAATACTGTTACCTGTAGTTGAAATCAGGTATCTTCCGGATGTTGGGATGTTTCCGCTGATGCCAGCCAACGCCCATGTTCCTAATGCAAAAGAAATCTCGGGAAACCTTTTACTAAGCATGCACTATTATTTTACTTGTCCACACTGTTGGGTAATTCTACAATATGCATTGACGTGGGTGGCGAAATGTACAGAAAACAAGTTCGAAAAGTCCATAATGCTGCTTTTTTTAAATCCACCTGAAGACATGCCATTATAATAAAATAAAGCGGATCAATACATTCGCGAAAAATTGGTCCGTTGTGCAATTGTTGCGTAAGCAGCAACGGATGGCAGGTAGTGCTTAATGAGGTCATTTCGCCATTTTTGCTTCATTTAGACATCGCTCAAGGATTTTGTAGTCATCTAGTAGCGCATCTGCACCCAAGGAGTGCTCCAAAGGCTTCAAACCATGCAGAAATTGAAGGACAATAGGGACTGGGCTCATTACGTTGCACGAAACACTTTCTTTGTTTATGCTCCCGCCAGCTTCTATCAACAATGGCTTTTTAACTACCTTGACAAAGTCCGATCTTTGTTTTACACCAAAACAGATAACATGAATCTACTTCACTGGATAACCCTTGAGTAGAGATTCATGACATCATTCAAACTCAACCTACTTATAGGTGTGCTTTGCGAAAATATTTGGGAGCTAATGCTAAAAGTTACATGAAGCTTGGTATTTAACCACGATTCAGCCAATAGGTAGTAGAATGTAAATCTACATTTGACAAACTTTGTTTCAGTGGAGAAGAACCATTTAGCGGCACCTATAATTTTTTCAACTTTTCTGACCCTAGGATTTTATTTAATCCACTAACAAAGGCACTGAAAGGTAGTCAACTACGTTTACTCTACACCATTTTTTTTATTAGACTTCCAATACCAGCTGCTTAATTTATCTTTTTTGACCTGTTTTTCGGGTAAATCATATTGCTATGAAAAAGTTACCCTGTAATCGGAAACTTTAAAATTCATATAAGGTCAAAGTAACGACAAAAGTTATTTGAAATTTAGATCAATTTTCAGTAGTGACTTGCTCTTAGTTCTTGTGACTGTCAACGATATTATAATATAAACAATTCAGAGGACCCACAACAAACGCCTGAACAATAGCTGATAGTTCTAAGTACGACCATAAAATAGGGATTTAGCTCCAGTTATGGCCTGTTTTTATTTACAGTGGTCATGTAACCTTGTTTCTAAGTACAAAGTTGCAGAGCAGTTTAAAATCGCAGTCAATCGGACAAGGAGCCATTAGCATCTAATATAGAAATTTATTTGGTATAATTCTAATGCAGCCTTTCTTACCATTATCAGTGAACTGATTGCTAACGTTTTATCTACACAGCCGCAGCGCCTATGAACCAACCACCATAGAGCGTTATACCTAGTTAGGTTTCAATCTATGCCTTAAAATATTGCAAAAGATGTAAGAATATTCTGACTGTACGTGGTGCTTCTGAGCAATTAGTGAGTTGTAACAAATACTTTTTTCCGATAAGCGCGCTTAAAGAAACCTCTGTTCGGTATTTATTTCGATTTCTACAGGTGAAATAATCTAAGTATTATAAATAAAAGCATGTGTTGGTGGTTAAAAAAAGATCGTAAATATCGTTTTTATAAACGAAAACATTTGCATATTTTTAAATGACATGGAATATTTTAAATAGAATTTTTACCAAAATATAAAGCAGTATTTTTTGACATTTCCCATAGAGACCTCTTATTAAACTCTTTAAAAGTTCTGCTCACAATTGGCCTCAATACAAGCACTTTGCGATAGATCTTAAATATTTTGTTCTATTATTAGAACAAATAGACTCAATTATGTGGCTCCTACATAGATCAGATTAGTGAACGCAGGACGCAAGCTCTAACGCCTTATGTTCGCATTATCATATTAAAGTAATCGAACTTAAAAGTTAATTTCAATCGCAGTGATAAGAATAGAAGTTGTGTGCAAACGTACAAATTTTGAAAAATTGTATCAAATTGAAAAAAAGCCGAGTGTCACCACCTCAAACCTGTTGAATATCCAGCTTTTTGTGTATAAAAGCAATTTTATCAACAGCGCTAATACATTATAATAGTTTTTTATCAGCATTTTTTCTCAGGTATCATTTGATTCACTTTTGTAAAATTGGTTTGTTTAAGTCACTCCGAAGTGAAATTGCCGCTTATTTTCGGTACTTTGGGGCGTGGTGGTTTTGTCTCCAGTGTTTTTTCGGTTATCCGTGACTACCCATGGTCCAATTATCTCGTCGCGAACGAAAGGAACTGTACTTTAAGAGATTTGCGAAGGTCCTAAATAATTATGACCGGTGCTTTGTTGTATGCGCAGACAATGTCCGGTCCCGACAAATGCAGCAGATTCGTGGGGCGCTTCGTGGGTCTGCAGAAATTGTTTTTGGCAAGAATACCCAAATGAAAAAGGTAATCACAAGCCAACTTGTCAGGGACGCTCGCTTGGAAAAGCTGCTTCCTTTGCTAAAGGATAATGTTGGACTCGTTTTTACTATCCGTGATCTATGCGAGGTCCGCAAGGCTCTCGAAAGCAATCGCCTTGAGGCTCCCGCCAAGGCTGGGACCATTGCACCATGTGATGTTACGGTTCCAGCTGCCAACACCGGTCTTCCGCCTGAAAAGACAAGTTTCTTCCAGGCGCTTAACATTCAAACGAAAATTACCCGTGGCACAATCGAGATTCTCAACGATGTACCTCTAATCAAAAAGGGCCAGAGAGTCGGACAGAGTGAGGCCGTTCTTCTTAAAATGTTAAAAATCAATCCCTTTGATTACGGACTTCAAATAAGACAGGTAGTGCCTTAAATAGACGTCACTGTTCCTGTAGGTCTTCGACCAAGGTTCCATCTACGGACCTGAGGTTTTGGATATTACTCCTGAACAAATCATCGAAAAGTTTATTCGAGCTTCCACGAACACGACTGCTCTTAGCTTGGGTCTTGGCTATCCGACATTTTCCAGCATTGGTCATATGATCGCTGATGGTTTTAAAAATTTACTTGCCATATCGCTCGTGACTGATTACACATTCAAAGAATCGGAACAGGTATGCAGTTCTCTTAATTAATCGGTTTTTCAGATGAAGGAGTACTTGGCAGACCCTAGCAAGTTTGCTAGCTCACCCTCCACTGTCGCCGCTGCTGAGACTGTCAAGCCCGAAGCTGTCAAAGAAGCACCTGCCAAAGCCCCTGAATCAGAAAAAGAATCTGAGTCGGATGATGATATGGGTCTTAATCTGTTTGATTAAATAGATATTGATCCAAGGTTAGAAGCATGGTTGACTTCCTTAGTTTTTATTCAAGGTTACAGGCATGTGCTTAATACTTGTCACCATTGTTACTTAGATTGAGTTGTTCTTAATGTCGATATTGTTCTCCTTTGTGCCAGTCCCTTTCCACTATCAGCCCTTTGAGCTTGTTAGGTGCTACAATTAAGTCAATATAATGGTTTGGGAAGTAAAAACCTGAGCTAACATCTCAAGGTCAAATCTGTAGGTCGGTTTTATCGGCTGGTGTTTAACAAGACATATCCGATGAGATAAGGACGCCAAAATCGATGTAGCCAACTAGTTTGTTACTATCGTCTGGCTTCTAAAGAGTTTGTGGTTTAACGTGGCTGTAGACGATGCAGAATGTCACACACGTGACATGGATTGGTGAATATTCCCCTGTTTTTAACTGTTTGGTCGGGCCAACTGACCTTTGTTTCTCTGCCAATCTTGCTCTACGTCGATGTGCATGTCCTTTATTTCCGCCAGTCTATGCACACCAACAATTAAAGAAGACTTGATTTTGATGATATCCGAAATTTCTCAGTCATGGTCAATAGTCGACTAAGTCCTTTTTAAGGTGCTTTTGCGGTTTTTTTTGAATTTTCGACCCTCATGTAAGAAAACTTACAATTGGTCAACTGCTTCGCTGATATACACTCAAATGTATGTCTGCTTCCACTCGGTTGAGCATGTCTTGTTCGAGATACAATAGATGTTAAGATCTAAAAAGCTGGGGATGCCATTGGCCTGTTATTGCGTTGGTCTCATAAGAGAATTGGCAGACCGGGGATTCGTTACAAGAGCAGGCTAAGCATGGCGTTGGTGTGTTGTGCAGCCTCGGTTGGAGTG